TCCTCTCAATACTTTGCGTAAGACAGACTGGGCGGGGGATGTCCTCAACTCCGACACGGCGCGTCCAATGGCTGATAGGGAATGTTCCTGCAGATATGCAGGGCAGGTACGAATATTGCTTAGCCACGGATCAACTGAGGGCATGGCATTAGGCAGCAGTGATGCCATTACTGAATCAAGGCTGTTAGAACGACATCTAGCAGGTTTGACGACAGACACCCACAGGCGGCAACCCATAATGATTTAACTGGCTGTGATACTGCGGTGCAGAAAGCAATGGGAAACTACTGCACTAAATCTCCCAAGAAAAGCTCCATGACAAATACAAATCATACTACGGCCCCGAGTCTCCGGCGTCCCTTTAATGGGACAGGGGTGCTAAGAATCTCCCGAGGGAAACATAAAAATAAAAATAGATCATTAATAAAACATATTGCTACGTGGAATGTTAGAACTTTATATCAAACAGGAAAGCTAAAAAATGTACAACTCGAAATGAAACGTGTGGGCCTGCAAGTCCTTGGAATTAGCGAAGCTAGATGGACCGGACCGAGAACTGTAAAAAGTGGAGGTTATATAAGTTTTGCTATAATTCTTGAGGAACGACTTGAAAACCTGGTTGACAAATTTGTTCCTCTTTCAGAGCGAATAATGATGATAACTATTAAAAGTAAGATTAATATAAACTTAATACAAGTATACGCTCCTACAAGTAACAGTACAGACAACGAAATTAATGAATTTTACCATATATTAAAGCAAGCACTAAATAACATAAAAAAACACGAAATTTGTGTAATAATGGGAGACTTCAACGCTAAAGTAGTAGAAGACATAACTCCCGGAATTACTGGAGGATTCGGTCTTTGGAAAAGAAACGAAAGAGGTGATAGATTGGTGGAGTTCTGCTAAAAGGAAAACTTTGTTATCACCAACACATGTTTTAAACAACCAAAAAGACGTCTCTATACATGGATATCACCGAGAGATGGTCCATGGTATGTAATGCGTAACCAAATAGATTATATCATGATTAACAATAGATTTCAAAACTCATGTAAATGTACTAAGACATATCCAAGTGCCGACGCAGCCACCGATCACAATTTACTGGCATCTAGAATCAACCTAAAATTAAAGACAATCAAAAAGCCTTCCATTACAAAGAAATACGATAGACAAAAACTAAAAGAAGAAGAATTTAAACATCACTTTGAACAGACAATGAACGAAAACATTCGAGACAATATCACACAAGTATACAATGTACCAACAGTCGAAGAAAGATGGGATAACATAAAAAATGGTATCATCGATACAGCAACGGAAAGTGGAACTGTCACCCATTATAAAACGCAAGCGTGGATGAAAGATGAAATAATCGAAATGATGGACGAAAGAAGACAGCTTAAAAATAGAAATAACTCAGAGTATAAACGAAAGCATAATCTGATTCGAAGAAAAATCAGGGAAGCCAAAGAGTTATGGATAAGAGCAAAATGTGAGAAACTAGAAAAATTGCAACGAAAACATGACGAATTTAACACACATAAGAAAATAAGAGAAGTTACAGTACACAAAAGAAATACACCCATAACATTAACGAATAATGAATGTCATGCACTATCCCTAGAAGACGAAGTAATGGAGAATGGGAAAAGTACATTAAAGCATTATTTAAGGATGATCGAGGATCACTACCTAACTTAAGTGCAAATACAGGACCATCAATCTTAAAAGCTGAAGTGGAAAAAGCCATACACCAAGCCAAAAATAACAAAACCAGTGGACCAGATCAAATATACAGCGAATGGCTAAAATTACTCTCAAATGACAATATAAAAGAACTCACTGTACTTTTACAGTGAAATTCCATCGGACTGGTTAAAATCGATCTTTATTCCTCTACCTAAGAAACCAAACGTTAAGAAATGTAGCAATTGTAGACTCATTAGTTTAATGAGCCATGCCGTTAAACTGTTGCATATTCTTCTAAACCGAATTAACAACAAGTGCGAAGAAATAATTAGTCAAGAGCAGTTCGGGTTCCGGAGATGCCTTGGAACTAGAGAAGCACTATTTTCTATGCAAACAGTCCTTCAACGATGTTGGGAGGTAAGAAAACCCGTATATATGTGCTTCATTGATTTTGAAAAGGCATTTGATCGCGTTCAGCATACCAGACTAATTACCGCCTTGCACAGCATCCAACTAGATGAGAAAGACATCAAACTTATTGCCAATCTTTACTGGAACCAAACAGCCATTATTAATACCAACAACAGAGAATCAAAGCCAATCAGTATTGAACGAGGCGTAAGACAAGGCTGTATACTATCTCCCACCCTCTTAACGTGTATTCTGAGAATCTATTTAGGGAAGCTTTAAAAGATCAAAAAGGAATTATCATAGGAGGAGAAATAATTAACAATATACGATACTGTGATTCTAGCTGAAAACATCGACGATCTGCAGGAGCTAATCAATAGAGTTAACATGGAATGCACAAATTGGGGACTGTCGATAAATATCGATAAAACTAAATACATGGTGACCAGTAAAGTGGATATCGGCGCAACCCAACTGATATTAAACCAACAACCGCTGCAGAGAGTTCAGAGATTCAAATACCTTGGATGTTGGATTACCCAAAATCTAGATCCATCCTTCGAAATTCGATGTAGAATTGAACAGGCAAGAAACTCATTTCAAAAATGCAAGCCTCTATTATCCAATATTTTATTAAATTTGGAAATCCAATGTTACGTGTGGTCTGTACTTTTGTATGGATGTGAAACTTGGACTTTAAACGCCGATATCATGAATAAAATCGAGGCGTTTGAGATGTGGTTGTATCGAAGGATACTAAAAATTCCATGGACTAGCAGAACCAGAAACGAAGAAATTCTTCGAAGAATGGGACATCAACGAACTCTATTAAATATTATTAAGAGGCGTAAACTAGAATATCTTGGACATATAATCAGAGGACCAAGATATGAGTTCCTTCGGCTAATTCTCAACGGTAAAATCGAAGAAAAGAAATGGATAGGACGGAAGAAACTCTATTGTTTGATGAATTTGCGGCAGTGGACAGGTTTGACAGCGGACCAATTGCTACACGTGGCGCAAGACCTAGATCAGTATAAACAATATTATAAGCATGGTAGTCGCCGACGTTCCGTAGGGATATGACACTCTAAGAAGAAGATTTAACATAAGGTCTCAGTTATCTCTTGAAAATAAACTGCTTCTGTGCAAAGCTATACTTATACCACTTTGGGCATATGGAATAGAACTATAGGGCTGTAGTAAACCATCAAATATGAAGACACTTCAAACATTCCAATTCAAAATACTCCGTATGATAAGTAAAGCTCCATGGTATGGATCTAACCAAACACTTCACAATGATCTGGGCATCCCATTACTTAAGGACGTAATAAAGAATCACTCAATAAAATATAAAAATCGCATACCTAACCACTTGACAAAAGAAGATTGAAGAGAGTATGGCCAGAGGACCTACCGCAATGATAC